CAGATTTTTTTTCGAGATTTTTTTTTACTATGTATTTTTACAGATTGTGAAAAAAAACTGAAAATTAATTAAGTAAACACAAGTCAAAAGTTATTTTTTTGAAACCATTTTTCCCTAAATAAACATGTAGTACTGTTTTGTATTACCTGTTTATTTATTTTTCTTCAGTGTAAGAATTATGGTTAGGTAAAAATAGTTTCGTAAAAATTATCCTTGATTGATCTTTCAGAGCATAAGTTTATTTGATAAATTTTTTCAACAGGTGGCAAAATCTAATAATAAACAAAAAAATTTATTATAAAAAAAAATCTTGAAAAAGTAATAAATCCTATTTCTCTATATCTATATATTATTTGTAAAAGAAATACTATGTATAGACAAAATTATTTTCTACAAAACAAACCTAAATAACAATTGATATCACGACGTACTTAATATTTAGGTTCTTTTATACAGTGGCAGCTAAGATGCCCAAAATGTTTTACCAAATGGTTTTAAATTTTACTCCCTTAATTTCACTTCTCAAATCGAAATATAATAAAAAATGCCAAAAACATACTATATTATTACGAATGTACCTTTAAAAAAAAAGATAAAAGTAATAAATTATGTTTCGGACTTTCTTGTTATCTTTCGATATACATATAGGCAATATATTTTTTTTAATTCAGGCAAAACACATAATAATGAAGTAAGTATGTATAACCTATTTTGTGTCGAGTAGGGTTCCAACGTAATGGACAATACCAGTCACTGTTAAAGATTGTTAGACGAATTATTTATTTCGATTTACTTATTAAAATATGTTAGTGGCTTTAATTAATTCTAAATATCCTCCTAAATCTCATATCAACTGTATCGACAAGCTAGTAAACAATTACAAAAAAAATTAAATTAAAAATTCGCCATCCAAATTGTTTTTAGAAAAAAAAACATATCTGTCATGTTGAAATTATTAAAATACCGTGCAAACCTACAGAGAAGTAACTTCTTATTTTAATAAATGTATCGTGCGAGATATCGTGCTTGAATTTCGTGTTAATCTTTGCCCCAACTTATCAATCACTGTTAGGAATAAGAATAGAAGTTAATTTATTTGATGGTTACAGTTTAATGATTTCGATGTGACAGGTACATATTCTTTCATTAGTGCAATTTGGAATAATTCTATTTATAAATATAAGGTCATTTCTTTAGGTGAAACTCGATATAATAGTATAAATAAATAAATATTTGTAAAATAAAAAACTATGAAGACAGTTGGATCGTAGGTGACAGAAAGGAAACAGCTCTGTTGATTGGGAAAATGTGATGGAAAAAACTCGGGAAAAACAATATTGTTTTCACATTTGTGAAAAAAAACGCACTGTCAAAATGCATCAATACAGTGCGTCGTTTCGTAAATGCGTATAAATTAGCAAAATGCAGCGAAGCCTTAAGGCTTGGGCACACTGAACGCGGTCTGCCGCAGCGCAAGATTACCAGATCGACAACCACCGTGAAATACCGCGATGTAATTAGTTAAGAAATAACATAAATCAAGTCGTTTGTTTAAAATAGCTACATTTAGTCTCAAAGGGTACATACATGTAATTATATAACTTGATTTGATTAGAGTCTACGAAAATATTTTTTCGAAAACACGAGTTAATTTGATACATTTAAAGTGAGATAAAAGTGCAAAAGATAAAAAAGAATGTATAAATGTATAATTCTGTAATCATTTTACTTAATAATGTTTTTGTAACAAAAACATTTTTCTGTTAACAGAATTACGAACGACCTAGACAGAACTCAGGAATCCCAACACCATAAATAAAGTTATCTTATTAGCAGGTATTATCAAAATGTGGGGACAGAGAGAAAAGCAACTAACTCATACCAAAGTACTGAGAAATAGCTTAAGGTGCCAAAAAACTATATTTATAAGCCAGGCAATCCCGAGAAAACATATTTCTAAACCTAAACCTAACAAGAAGCGTAAACTGCCAGATGACGTGACTAAATCTTAGAATTTCCGCGACAAATCTAAACAGCAACGAAATTTATAAAACACAAAATAATACATAAAATATCTCGACGATTATATTAAGATACACATATTTTTTCTAGTGTTTTTTTTTCCATATGTTAAAATAAGTTAAAAATAGAAGAGGCCTACAATGAAAACCTCATAAGTTTTACATTACACATGAATTACTTTATTTTTAGTGCAAGTCCTTTTTTTATAGATATTAAATACGAAATAATATATAAATATATGTAGGTATTATTAAAAATAACCGACGGAAATTTGGTCATAAAAAATTCAGTTTAATACTTATATTTTGTAAAAACTAGATTTTCTGTTACATTTTATACAGCGAGATATACGGTAATATTATATGTAAGTCAACGATGTAAGTAAAGAATGGCAGGTAATAGTAATTTAATATATTTAAGTGCATTTACTCGAATAAGCAGGTATAATTAGTAACAAAGTAATAAAAATAAAGTAGGTAAATTATTAAATTACTTTATACAGGGTGGCCCATCAAGTAGTACGCATCTATAATATCTGGATAATGGTGGTCTAAGCAAGCAACGTCGCACGCAACAAACACTGAAACATTTTTTTTTATGTGAGCACACATTTGTGACGATAAAGGTATAGTGATTCATTATTTGATACCTGCTAAAACTCTCTTTACAATGGCATTATACAGTGCCTTCATAAATGCCCGAGACATTAGGAAACACAGTATTTCCTAAAACCAAGCAAATCTCTTTACACAGCTTCATAAAATGTAATTAAAAGTCCCATGTCATAATGTTAATGTCAGTTATTAAATTTGGTAAGTTTAATACATTTAACATTACAATTTTTTTTTAAATTTGCTCACCCAATGGTCAACTGCTTTTTTTAATGTCTCGGACATTTATGAAGGCACGTTATTTATTTAGTTTTTTCTCACACTGTCAAGAAAAAATGTAAATAATGAATAAAAGTTTAATTTGTCATATGCTCAAAATGGGAACTAATAATATATCCATCCAACAATTAGGTAAGTGATTTGTAAGACTTATCATGTCTTAGAATTTAAGTATAAATGATATTTTCAAAATTTATTTAAAATATAACAACCTTTAAGAATAAAACAGAAAACTTCATATAAATATGTATATTAAAATGTCCGTTTTCTGAAATACAGAATGTATCTCACGTAATTATTTTTCAAATTCTTATCACAGATACTTTATTAGAACACTTGTTTTGAGTAAAATTAAGATTTTTTGCAATGAGGCGCGTGCTCCAAGTTACGCCTATGGCACATGCGAGGGCGTATGTCCATAGTTTAAAAAAATACGCACAATCAATTATTTTATTATGTAATTTTTATAATCATTCTTCAGAACTGAGCAGACTTTTAAATATATTCTTCGTAATTTTCTTTTTTGATATTTAATTTAAGGACATGATTTAAGAGAGAAAATTCCGCGGAAAAAACCGCTGTCAAAAATATTAGTATTACTTAAGTATTACTACGCAAATAGTACTCAGTATGGAAATATGTAGTACTCTGTATTACTTAAATATAAATCGAGTTTGTACCAAATTACTCCTGCGGTTTCCGTTTTGAAACCTAATCTAACCAAAGATTTTTTTAATTAATTATTTTTTATAATAATATAATATAGAATCTAGGCAAATTTAATATTGTTGTAAAAGTACTATCATTATTTTGTATTTGTTTTTTTTTTTTTGTTTTGTTCATGATGTACCTAGGTACCTATCTCAGTTTTTACTTTTTACGGATATTTTATTAGAACATTTATTTGTTTTCACCAAAATTAAAATTTCTATGTTCCCAAACATGCCTATGGCATATGATATCCTCATAATTCAAAAAATACACACATATTCCAATTATTTAATTATGTAATTCTTTATAATCTTTTTTCAGAATTGGGTAAAAGATGCTTCTTCATACTTTCTTATTTAAGACCTAATTTAAAAAGACAACGCGATTTACGTTTAAGAAAGTAAATAGCTAACTAAAGATTTCTTAATTATTTGTATTTTTTATAATAATAGAGGTAGAATTTAAACAAATACTTAATTTTCTAGTAATGACCGCTCTGACCAAAGGAATAAATAATAGCCTCGATAATAGCCCACTGGAATTATTAAAAAAAAAAAAAAAACAAAATTGACCTATTTAAGCATTTGTTGCATATTTTGGCTTTTATCCAAATATTAAGGGCGACACTCCATATTGTCTCACTGTATTTATAACAAAAAATTTTTATAACTTTTAATATTTACCAAAAATTGTTATTATTTCTATGTATTTACGTTATTAATCAACAGTAATCTGGTTTTACATAGTATTGTGCAACACAATTTGTGCGAGTACTTACAATTAAAATTTATCTGAGAACCACAATAAAAACGTGAAAACGCACTTTTTACTTTTGCCGAACAATATTTATATTATTGTTAATTATTCAACTTTTAAACAAATCAATGTTATTTATTATAATCCAGAAACATTCAATATAAACCAGAAATAATTTTATTGATTACCGCTGTTAATGTTGAAAACAAAATGATAGAGAAATTTAACAAAAAAATTTCAGGATTAAATACCTAATTAAAAAAAAAAGAATTACAAACATGTTCCAAACTGTGACCAAATGTACATTATACCCATTTTGAATATTCATAGCATTACTAGTTTGTTTCACTTTATAGGTACATAAATTAAAAAAGTAAGTTTATACATTAGCTATTCCACATTTGCAAAATTTATATATAAATTCAATTATTAATTATTACCATACCATATTCAAAATATATAGTGATGGTTAAAAATTAAGTATCATATAAGAAACCAAATTAATAATTCAAATAGAACTGGTAAATTTTAAACGTAAGATTTTTACCGATAAATGTAGGTATAATACATGTATTAAATACACTGAATTTAATCTTAACATGAAATCAAAGTGAATCTTACCTGACACGTAGTGAAGAAGAAGAGCACAGATGGGGTAAATAGTGGGGCTGTATACTATATCGGGGCAAGCATATCCTAGCACTGACACAACACGATCAGTAACACTTCGCCCCTTGTGTGTCATGTAATATGACTGGCAGTGGGAGGGCTCCACGAAAGGTGGTAAGCTAATCGGTTTATCAGGTAATTCGGTGCTTCCAAAAACTTGATTCACCATATCCCAATAAAAGCCATCGATGATGTTGGATTTGCCATTCTGATGCTGTGTACACAGCAGGGGCCACAGCTCCTTTCGAATGGGATTGTTAACAGGCCAAGGATTATTGCGAAGAAGCTGTTTCAGATCTTGCTTTCGTCCTTGTTGCAAAAGCACCCTGACATCATTAATAGTCTTAAGAGGTTTCGAGGATGGACTGGGTGGAACAACGGTAATTCCACTAGAGTCAACTAGCGGAGTATATACGTTGGAACTGTCATCAACTTCTTCCAATACCGAAGGCATTATTAACATTCCTGATGGCCCAGCTGCAGCCCCTCCGACTGAGCAGCTCACTATGTCAAATCTTGAAACATTTTCATACCTGAAAGTGAACACATACACACTTTAATCCCGACACAAACAAAGAAAAACGACAACAGATGACATGCCACTCACAATAAATCTGACCTCTAGTATCAACAGTTTAATAATAATCTCAACGTTGAAATTGATTTTAATAAGATAATCATCAGTAAGCTTAACTAGACCCATTTGTCGGGGCACTAACGAAACTTTATCTCATGAAACACCCCCGTAAAAACACCAAGATAGATAAATAGAAAATGAGGTACTTACGCTTCTTTAACGAATTAATTGTGACTTAAGAACGTAACCTCTGATGTTATGCATTGATGAAAGAATTTTCGGATAGATGCAATCGATACGTCTACCTAAACGTCCGGTTCGACTTTTCTTCCCCTTACGACACCACCGACGACATTCACGCACTTCACCATGCAGACTGTTTTTTTACACTGTTCACAAATTAAATGTAAACGATAATTCAAGGCAAGTAAACACAAATGTAATAGATAAACTACAACAGAATAACAGATATAAAAAATAACTATAGGGACTTTTAATAATACCCTCCAATACTGAAAAATGAATACCGATTCATATATTAATTTGTAATTGTAATTTTTTTAAAAGCACCACCTCATTATCAAAAGCACTTACGTATTTCTCAAAGTCTATTAAAATACTTGCACGGAACATCGAATACTTGATCCGTCTTAGCACTTTCAGTCAGATCAGTTTGTCAATGCGCGAAAAAGGCCACTCCCATTTTTAAGGATCTTGTTCCATGCGCCACACTGTATGAACGTAAAATTTAAAAATTTTTATAAGCGGCAACTCCGATAAGGCAAATACAAACTTCCCCCATGCACGTGACTTCTTCTGTCACGCGGTCTTTTAAATAGACTGCAAATTTGCTTGCCATAGTTTATCAAAGTTTGCAATACTCCACAAATACTGCCCATTAATACGTATGAATGTTTACATTAAGCTGCAACCATATATACAGCAACTTGATTCGTAAATTGTATACTTATGACTTTTTGTCTTTATCTATGCTTACGACTAATAAAGGTAAATTAATTGTGATATAACTATACCTAGTTTTTGCCCATATTCAGTAGCGGGTATTACTTTCGTTTTGATATACAAAATTTTATTTAAAACAAAATATTCATAAATACTATGAACTTCTCATGTAAATTAATCAGTGTATTTTTGCCATTAAGTGGCATCTTCAGACACATTTGAATTAATATATATATTTTTAATTACCTACTGCTTTTATTTAATTCAATATTTTTGCTCCACCCCTAAATAATCCCTAAGCCAAAAGGACTGTCAACAGATTTTTTTATAAATTATTCATCTGGCTAGAAAAAATTGAAAGCATTTCCAGGGAACATTTCTTATTTTGAGAAGTTCTATCACCAGGAAAAGTTTATTGTGTGCAATTTGAGCGTGTGATTTTTCAAAAAAATGCGTCTTATGATTACATGGAACACCATATATTAGGGTGAAAATTAGATGTCTGTTCAAAATTAATTTTTTCTTAAATAACTAAACCGTTATTTCCAATTCAAATGAAGTTTATATATTAATACATCTGTGTATATGCCACTTTTTTAAGTGGTAATCGAAGTAATTACATTTATAGAAATGACAAAATGCACCTCATGCAAATATGGTAATATATTTTTTTTCTCACACAAATAAGGAAAATTTTCAGGTTTTTTCTCTTATAATTTTTTTATATTCCTAATAATTTTCAGTAATTATTTTATTAGTCATCACCAATGCATTTTTGCTTTAAATCTGATGTGCCGTCGAGTTTAATTTCTTTGATAATTAAAACAAAATATGTAATGCTTTGTGAAATTCAGAAAACAGTAACTTCTTTCACGAAAATTATTGGTTACTATTCAGTTTAAAAAATAAAATTATGATCTCAGCTTTTTCTCAATAGATGTAAATTGTATCTTCAGTAAATTTAATCTGTAATTATTCTTATTTGAATAGCACTATATTAGATGAATTAAATGAGAGACTACTCTTCATTTTAAAGAATTTTGTAATTTTTCGGAAAAAAAAATGAAAATAAAATAATTTTTATTTTCTTGACTGAACCATTTGTTAACTAATATAATCACCAATAATTTTCATGAAGGAGCATTCGATTGCAAGTTTCTAAGCTTTGCAAAGCATTATTTTGGATTTTCAAATAAACACATTTTCGATAACAATTGTCAATTTTGAATAAAAAAAGTGTTGCCGCTGACTACTATAATAATTAATTCAACCAAATGTGTTAGAAACACAACAAATTTTCAAGAAAAACAAATTGACGAAAGCTTTTCTACATATGATCAAATTAGGAATTGATTAGTTGTTAGGTGATCCACAAGAAATATGAACACATTTGTTTAGGGACAGCAGTATTTCCCCCATACAGTAAATGCAATGAATTCGGTTAAAACTTAAAAAGTATCATCTATACATAAGTGTTATCATACCAAATTTTACTTCAATTGGAAAAAACATTTTTAACTACAGTTTTTTGCCAAATTTCACATCCAAAACAATGTTGGTTTCTATACATATCAACTATCGAGATATTCTATATTAAAAGATGTATTACTTTCTTCATATATATTATTAATAAACATACATATTTGTTTTCAACGATAACTGTGATCACAGATAAAAGTTTTACACAACAGAAAGTCATTTTCAGAGAAAAAAAATAAGTCAATCTGATACACACATTTCTACAATAACACACTTTACAGACGCACTGTATATAGGGATATTAATGTAAAAGGTTTTTTCTATGTTTATATTTTCTTTTACAGTTTCACTAATGTATACATAATAATATACTTAGGGCTTTAAAAACAAATTAACAGAAAACAATGTTAGATATATTTTTTAAAAACCTCTGTATTCCTTATTTACAAAACATTATAACAATTGGTTATAAATAGAGGCACTCATTGGATAATTTTCCACTATATTGATTATGTACCTTATGAAAATTGCCATTTTTAGGACATTTTAATAAATCTAACAAATTTCAGAATATAATTAACCATATTAGACATATTAAAGATAGGAGGAATTCCTGTTAATTATGTAATATTTTCATCGTCTATGAAAATTCTATAACATTTTAAAACTACCTCTTGTGTTGGTTGTAATAAATTTTCTTTTCAAATAACTTGTTTTGGCAACACCCTTTTATGTCACTTAACAAAGCTTCTACTTTGCTCATTGTTCTCTACAAACTTTTGTGTCTATAATTATTGTCGCAGCGATGTCAATACGATAACAAAAATTATATACAAGGTGTCCCAGAATAACGTGTACAACGGAAGACCACAGATTCATGGACTCAAAACAGGCAGATTTAGGCAGATTCACCTATATCCGAAATGGCTTTGTTTGGCTGCTAGGTGACCTCAAAGTTCGTGAAAATTTTTTGTGTTTTTTAAAACTTACAACTCCTACAAAATTGATGTGTGGTGATAATATCCGTTCATAACTTTTTCCTCTTTGGATACAAAAAAATATTTTTTAAATATCCACATTATCTTGCCACCCATATGAGACTGACTGTTTCCGATATTACAATATTTAACAAAAGTGCTAGTAGTCACTGCTTTTGTAGGTTGGCTATAATTTCTGTTTGATCTTTGTCATTGTACCTGCCAATTTTGTTTTACCAGAAGCGGAATAATAAATATTCACAAGGAACATGTGTATGCTCAAGAAAATCCACATGCTGTGAAAGTGAAACATTATCAGCATGAATTTCGCATCAATGTTTGTTTGGGATCATTGATAACTATTACATAAAAAATAGCTGTCATTATTACCCGAAAGAGAAAAAAGTTATGAATGGATATTATCACCATACATCAATTTAGCAGGAGTTGTAAGTTTTAAAAAACACTCTGTATAACACCAAAATGTGTAGACTGAAAGCAAAAGTCCACACTCCAAAAATAATCAAAATCGAATAATACATATTTCAATTATTAACAAAATTCAAAAAAACTTCACGAACTTTGAGGCCATCTAGCGGCCAAACGAAGCGATTTCGGATATAGGTGAATTAGCCTAAATCTGCCTATTTTGAGTCTACGTGTCTTTGGTCTCCCATTGCACACGTTATTCTGGGACACCTTGTATATTACAATACAATACTAATTTTTCCACAGGGCACATCTACGAATTTTTCCACTTTGTCAAGACGTGAATGTATAGTTGTCTATTGTATTGTAATATTCTACATAATCTTTGTTATCGTATTGACACTGTTGCAATAAAAATTATAAACACAAAAATTTTTTGAAAACAATCAGTGAAGTAGAAGCTTTGTCGAGTGATATAAAAGGGTACAGCCTGAAAATCGCACATTTTGGTAAACTCGTAATTTGTTAAAAATTTTGTGCTAAGTTATTATATATCATTGGAACGTGTTACTGAGAAAGTTCAAAGATGAGTTCAGCTTTGGTTTTGGAGATATGAGTGATACATGTCATAATACTCATGATCTCACGTATCGAGCATATCACTTTAAATCTTTAAAATTCACTGTTTTTTAGATGGCCTATCATCAAGGTCAAGGTGGTTACTTAGGTTTTTGGGGTTGCTGATTATGAACCTGAAGTCAGAATTTCAAAATTCAAGATGGCGGATTCAATATGGCGGACAAAATTTTTGAAATTGAACCAAATTCGACCAAATTGGGTATATAGGGGTTTTCGGGGTCTATTGTTAGATTCGTAATCAGCAACCGCGAAAACTTAAGTAACCACCTTGACCTTGATGATCTAAAAAACAGTGAATCTTAAAGGTTTAAAATAATATGCTCGATATATGAGAGATGACATGTATCACTCATATCTCCAAAACCAAAGCTGAACTCATCTTGGAACTTTCTCAGTAACACATTCTAATGATACATATACAATAACTTAGCACAAAATTTTTAACGAATTACGAGTTTGCCAAAATGGGCGATTTTCGGAGTCACTCTTTATTACAAAAAAAGCGAGACATTCTTTTAATTTAATAGTAATTTCATAGCTCTGATTTTTAACTTTAATTTTGCAGACTATGAACAGCTTTTCCTGTAATTATCAAAACTTCTGAGAAAAATCTCTGGCCAAAAGTTTACACTCGGAGATATCTATGAATCAAGACCTAAAAATATCAGGCATATTTTGTATAAATTTATTAAATCCTATTAAAAAAAACTGTAAGACATACTGCTTTTTTAAATTGTCATGTAAGATATGATCATACTGTAATGGTAACAAAAACTATTTCATGAATCAAGAGAGAATAATTAAATCAAATACTATTTTCAAAATGATTGTATGATGAAGCCGTTACGAATGATGTATTTTAGTATATTCCTTAAGTCATTGCGCCGGTTGTCTGACCAAACCAGTTCGAATAATTTTCGAAAACTCAAACAAAACTAAGAAGGAATGAATAAATATTAAAATATCCTTCCCAGTTTCCCTGTTTTCGATGTATAAGAAAAATATTTCGGACCAGATTTCGACCAGCTGGTCGAGAATCAAAGAGTCAGATTCAAGTTTTCAAGTTTCAAGTCTTTTTATTTAATTATGATCAAATATCTTCTATTTTACCCTAACTTGGTATTAGAACGTCCAATTGGAATATAAGTTCAGATTTCAACTATTTTATTTCCTTCTATAATTTTTAACCAGGCAGATGAAAAATAGAGCCCTTTTTTACGAGCAGATTTATATCAGGTTTCAAAACATTTTTTTTAGTCTCTTGAAATGGCCTTTCGACTATAGAACATATTCCGAAAACTCTAAGTTAACAACAACACAACCACAGAAAATATATTTTTTTAGATATAGATATTCCCTAAAAGCAATTTTTTTATTTTGTTGTCAGATTCGTAACGTATTTCAACTTTTAAATCAGATGAGACTGACTGTTTCCAATGAAGATTATCTAATGTAAGTGATGATCAAAAATGGAAATATTTACAATCAGAATAAAACAGCAGTTGATCAAAAACAGGTAAAAAATTTAGTTTTCGGTTCATTTTACTTTCGAAAATGTTACAGATCATAATTATAAAATAATTGTAATATTTAGCAATTTTGGAACTGTTTTTCAAATTCGTTGATCCCAAAATGAAAATAAAAGAGAAAAAAAACAAAAGAGTATTCGATGAAGTTATTGATTGTAAACATCTACATGGTCAAAAACCGGCACAATGACCCATTATAATATTCTAGATGATATTAACTGTCTATTTTATGTCTTAACCATACAATTTCTACTTAATGTGTAAAATTCCTGGCAATTTAAGATAAACATTAAAAAATATATATACATACAAATTGTGCAACTAAACACCAATAAAGAAAGTTGATATCACAATATACAGAACAGATGTGCAGCTCTATATAAAAAGAAAATGCATTAATAATTATATTGATGATCAGATTGTTGAAAATTTTATAAGTATGTATGTATTTCAACAATTCAAAATGACGTAAACTTGAGCAACAAAATCATTAGGACACATGAAAATTTAAAAAGATTACTACTGTTAGTAATGACAAACGTGTAATTAAACATAAATACAATACAGAAATATACGCATAAAAAAATCTAAATAATACTTTAAAATTAATAATAATAAATACTCATATACCTTACAAAAATAAATAATACCGGTCCTATACTAGGGACCTATTTTTCATACGTTTTCTTATACTTGAAAAAGACTTCCCTATTATAACTCCAATTAAAAAAAAATAAACATGGATTACGTATGAAATGTATATGTATGTAAAAAAAAATAGAATAGTTTGTAAAAACCTTTCACAAACATTATAAGTGTATTTTGTTCAAACAGAACGTTCCCACTGAAGTGATGTCAAAACCGAAATATACTACTCTTTATAAATGAAAAACATATCAATAATGTTTCATTTACATAATATATAAATATAAAGTACTATTTTTATTCGTTTGATATGCATAACACATATCACATATTTAATAACCTACTTTTGTATAAAATAAAAATGACAACTTATTCCTAGTCGAATGGTGTTACATTCTATAAAATAAAGTATCCAATTAGATTGGATCGAAGCTTAAGAAATAACAGTTACAGAGTGACCGCAGAAAACCTGTGATTTTCGCCCATTTTTTCACAATTCGCAGAGAATTAAAAAAAATACATAAAAATATGTTTGTCCTCGCAAATTACTTGTCGTAAAAAACTGAAATGAGCATAGCTTTTAGTATTTTGAAAATATTAAAAATCACCCCTACTTAGGGGTTGAAAAAATGCCAAAAATTAAGAATTTGAATATTACCAATTGATATAAAAACTATTAACGTGAATTATCTTAATATATTTTTTTTGGAATTTTTACAATTATTTCTGATATTCACTATTGTTGGAGATGATTCCACCCCCTGAGCGCGCTTAAGGGTGGATTTTCTAATTCAACATGCTTATTTCAGTCATGAGAATAAATCTTTCTTTGTATCGAGAATTATTCGATAAAAAAATTCACATGCTAATAGTTTTTATATTTATTGGTAATATTCAATTCCTCATTTTGGGCGTCTTTTCAACCCCTAGATAGCGGTGATTTTTGAAAAGTTTCAAAAAACTAAAAGCTATGCTCATGCAATTTTTTACGACGAGTAATTTGAGACCAAAAATATATTTTTATCTATTTTCTTTAGTTTTCTGCGAATTGTAAAAAAACTGGCGATTTTTGCGGTCACTCTTTAAGTTCCAGTCCAATTGAAGTTCTCACAAACTATTATTACATAAAAACTAAATCTGTGATGTTTATTTCTTAAACTTCGATCAGTTATACTCAATTCAATCCCTATCGGAGCGGACTGAAACCTGTGAGATAAACATGGACATATTATACTATAGATTATAATAGGTTTGTTCCAATACTTAAGCATAAGAAACATTCGACCAGTTAATTTTTTTTAGAAAGCAATTGAAATTAAGTGCTTTGCGGCTGTTAAAAAATGCTTATTTATAATTAGAAACATTTAATACTAAACATAATGAAATATTCTTAAAAACAATTTTTATATTTATGTTTGTTTATTTAATACATAAATAGCAAACCACTTCCTTCCTTTTATATTAGTCATTTTAAATTGGTAAGTTAAAGTAAACATCAGAAAATAATAATAATATTCAGCCATTTACTGAATTTCTCGATTAAAAAAAAAATTCATCTATGAACATACCTGCATAATTTTGATCACTGGGTATTTATTCACCTACATTTATTACTGTTACTTAAAGTAAGTGATTACATAAATATTTCATTATAATGTTCGGAAGACTAGTCCTCCCATTCATCATCCGTAGAAACATCATCGTCGTCATCTTCAGAATGGATAGCCATGCTACGTTCTGCTAAGGCCTTCTTTAAAGCAGTACTCAAATCAACTGCTCCACCTTGTTCTGGTGGTGGGTTAGAGATAGGCCTTATATCTCTGTCTTCGACTGGTTTTAGCTTGCAACCCTTGCGAATCTCGCTTAATAAATCACTACGAGCGTCTTCTTGCGGGGCCACTTTTCTCTCTTCGACAGGCTGCAAATTTTATAATAATTAACTTTAGTGGACAATGGTGTACTTAACATTTGCTTCCATTAATATTGCATCTTATAAATAGAATAATTTATGTAATTAATTAAAATAACCCAATTCAAATTAAAATTCAGTGATATTTAAATATTGCCACCTATGTTTTAAATGTGTTTATTGGTCCCTTTCTTTAAATGATTTATAAAAAGGAAAGAAGAAAAAATTGAGGTTATAGCTTGAACAAATGTTAAGACCCTTTATACAGGGTCGGAAAGTCCCCATGGTTCATCAGCCGTTACGTGAGCCCTTCCACAAATAAGAAGTGGATCTTATTTGTGGAATGGCGAAATGGGTGGTGACTATTAGACGCCTTCATTATAGCCATCTTTCTCTATCGCACGGATTTCTATGACCTTTTTTATCGCTCTTACGTAACGGCCGATGAACCATGGGGACTTTCCGACCCTGTATATTCCAACATTTTCTTTTCTAAATTTTTTATATACATATATTGCAATATGTAATTACATATAAATTTCAGATTTATATTATATATTTCACTTAGGATATAAGTAAAAATATGTCCACCTTGCCCAAGTGTTCTAAGAAAACAGCCACGCCTATATGAAAATAAAATCACATGTTCTATTAGGTAAGTTTCCTGATTTTAACCTGAAATACCCTGTATATTGAAATATTTTACCTTAAGTGTAGTGCCGGTACGTATACTTTGAAGTAAAGCAGAATTCACTGTGTCTGCTACTGGGGGAGGAGGCGGCGGTGGTGCTGGAGAAGACACATTATTTTGTCCCATCGTTTCTAATGGGGGAGGTGGCGGTGGAGGAGGGGGTGCTGGTGGGGCCAAACCTGGAATAGGAGCTGGAGGTGGTTTTTTAGGAGGTTCCATTAGTTTTGGTCGTCGGGCCATTACACTGTTACTTTTTTGAGGAAGGGGAGGGGGAGGAGCATTTCTAAAATGAGGTCCTCGTGTAGGTCCCCGAGGAGGTACAGCGGGGGGCGCACCATCAGAAACGGATTCAACTTTTATACCTTTCACAACAGCATCTCGGCCTCCATGCGTGTTTACAAAGTCATAGAGAAATTCTCTTGTCGTTTTATCCTGAAGCTGTTGTTCTGATACTCCAGCCTACAAATTCAATTTCTTATAAAATCACATGAATTTTTAAATATACCTTATGCTAAAATTACATATTTGTGTATTATGCTGTGTTTATACAATTTAGAATTTAAAAACATATACATGCACATCACAGTATTAGATTTATCTTTTCTCAAGTCCCTTCTTCATTTAATTACATTTAAAAATCAATGCAATGGCATTTTTAAATGTTGACAATATTTTATAATATTTTTGTACTACCTCAAATAGTTTTATAGTCTCATTATAATGTAGTTTTGTAATAAGCAACCACATGTGGCATTGCTATTCATAATAGTTGTTATTTAGTTGATACGGAATTAGACACATTTTAAAATTTAATTTTTTACCTCATTTAAAATTTTAAAGCTATTTGTCATATTAACATCAAATTTGTCAAGATTTGGATTAATCAAAATAAAATAGGTCTGTATTGTTATAAAAGATACTATATATAAATTAATAAATTATTATAAAAAACAGTATACTTAAAAAAATAATTTCAATTTGAGAAAGCAACTTTATCATTGGCAACTAATTATAGAATAATAAAAAACTTTTTCCTGTTTTTAACAAGTAACAAAAAAGCAATTTTGTCATTGACAACAAATTGTAGAATAATCCTGTCCTATTTAACAATAGAATAAAAATTATATTGAAATGATCATAACTAAAATACCTTTTATACTGTTTACAGATTACTCACACTTTTAAAAAATGCCTTTAATTCTTCGTCTTCCGTATTAACATCAAAACCAGAAGTGGAATTCCAACCAACATGTGAAATGTGTTTAAAGTCCATAGGTGTACTTATATCAGCCTTAGTGATATTTCTTTTACGTTTAGCTAATGTAGCAGTTGGATCAGGATTTTTCTTAAAGCCAGAAAAATCTACAGTAGGTCCAGGTACAGTTTGACTGTGATTTATTTGACGTGAACGCTTTTCTTCTCTTCTCCGCCTAGCATTAATTTTTTGAGCAACGACAATTCTTAAATTTCTGGCTTCTTCTTTACTTGCAAAATTAAATGCTACTACACAATCATGTCCCTCAAACATATGAAAGAAAGATGTAGCTTCAATATATTCCATATTGCTATACATTTCCTGCTCCCACAACTTCATATTTCTTCTTAAACAGAACAAACGAAAAAAGAAATTTTTTCTACCATTGTCTTTTACGAAGCATAAAACACCTGTGCCCTTTTTTAGCCATTCTGAGTGATAAGGTGGATGGGTATAAAATAATTGCACTACTGTTGTACAAAGAGATTGACAACGACTTCCCAGCAATTTAAAGACTTGCAGATTTTCGTCATTTGATAGCAGTTCACAATATTCGTTTTGCTGAGGGGACATCTTGCTATTAGCGACGAAATTTATTAAAATCCTGATACAATCAAATATATACCGCCAACAGTAATAAGTTACTAATTACTGTAGGCACTACTCAAGTACACTTCATTTTTATAAATTTTAAAAGAATATGTAACAATCATATATAACCTAAAATTAATACATTCCAAAATTTCTTCACTCTACACCATAGACCTTATAAAATAACTATCTTGCTTTACACNACTAAAATACCTTTTATACTGTTTACAGATTACTCACACTTTTAAAAAATGCCTTTAATTCTTCGTCTTCCGTATTAACATCAAAACCAGAAGTGGAATTCCAACCAACATGTGAAATGTGTTTAAAGTCCATAGGTGTACTTATATCAGCCTTAGTGATATTTCTTTTACGTTTAGCTAATGTAGCAGTTGGATCAGGATTTTTCTTAAAGCCAGAAAAATCTACAGTAGGTCCAGGTACAGTTTGACTGTGATTTATTTGACGTGAACGCTTTTCTTCTCTTCTCCGCCTAGCATTAATTTTTTGAGCAACGACAATTCTTAAATTTCTGGCTTCTTCTTTACTTGCAAAATTAAATGCTACTACACAATCATGTCCCTCAAACATATGAAAGAAAGATGTAGCTTCAATATATTCCATATTGCTATACATTTCCTGCTCCCACAACTTCATATTTCTTCTTAAACAGAACAAACGAAAAAAGAAATTTTTTCTACCATTGTCTTTTACGAAGCATAAAACACCTGTGCCCTTTTTTAGCCATTCTGAGTGATAAGGTGGATGGGTATAAAATAATTGCACTACTGTTGTACAAAGAGATTGACAACGACTTCCCAGCAATTTAAAGACTTGCAGATTTTCGTCATTTGATAGCAGTTCACAATATTCGTTTTGCTGAGGGGACATCTTGCTATTAGCGACGAAATTTATTAAAATCCTGATACAATCAAATATATACCGCCAACAGTAATAAGTTACTAATTACTGTAGGCACTACTCAAGTACACTTCATTTTTATAAATTTTAAAAGAATATGTAACAATCATATATAACCTAAAATTAATACATTCCAAAATTTCGTCACTCTACACCATAGACCTTATAAAATAACTATCTTGCTTTACACTGACTTTACCATGACCCATGACCACAGTTTTTTGAAGAATCAGCTGATCAACTATGGAGTGTTGACTAGACAAGGAGTGAACACTTTTCTCATGGAGAGACTACACAACTTTTCTCTTATTTACCGCGCATACAAATTCGAATTCCACACGACAGGTGACAAGATCGGTTATCACGCATGCTTATGTGGATCCAGTCCAGTCTTATTAATATGGTTTTAGACTACGAACAAACGTAAGTATTTAAACAATTTTCAAGTATTTCTTTTTAATGTTGTGAGCCAAAAGCCAGAACCTAATATAAATTCCACTTATTAAATAACAGTGGCACAAAATAATAATGTTAATGAAACATACAACTAAAAAATCCTAACTCCGTAGATACAATTTGAGAGTATAAAGCTCATCAGTAAAAGGTGCATGGTGCGCGAGGTGTCAAGGGAAAACAAATGGGAACAATTTGAGAGTAAAATGCTCCAGTTTATTGGAACGCAAAAAGCTAATCTGAAGTGTTCCTGAAGTGCTTCCGAAATACATTTTTTGTCAATTGGAAAGCAGCTAAGATCACTACGAGTTAATTTTCGTAAACCCCTAAAATAGGAATTTACGAAAATTTAGTAGCAGTATTTCCCTTTCTCTAAAACCATTCGAATAACAAAGCAAAAAGGTAGTAATCTGACCAGCCGGAGATAATTTTCATAAACCCAATAAAATTTTTTGAAAGTTGCGATTAGTATAGTAATCTAAACGTAGCATTCTCTTTGTCTTTCTAAAACTGTAATAATAACAAGGACAAAAATAGTAACTGAGTACCCAGAAAGGATTTTCATAAACACTAAACAATTGACAAAAAATGTACTTTGGAAGCACATCAGGAACACTAGCATTTTGCTTTCTAATAAACTGGAACATTTATTTACTTCTTAAATTGGTCTCTTGTTTGTTTTCCCCTTTCCTCTCCCGCACTACCTTTTATTGAAGAGATTATTTATACTCTCAAACTGATCGCACACTATGTGAAGTTAGGATTTTTTAAATGTTTCGTCGTAAACATTATTTACAGAACAGTCAGGGATTGTTTCATTAAGGTTATTATTCGTGCCACAGTGTTTTAATAAGTGAAATTTATATTTGGCTCTGGATTTTGGCTCACAAAATTAAAAAGAAAGAAATATTTAAGTATATATACTGTTTTTTCCGAACGTATTCTAATCGTTTAAGTTTGGAGTATCTCATAGAAAAATTAATATACAAGATTAATATTCAATTTTCTATGAAGTATCTAAAGAGTATAATAGAACAGTAGAAGACTGCTTAAGGAAGCGATCTCTAACAATTGGAAAGCAGTTAATAGGCGTTTTCGAAAATTCACTTCGAGTGCTCAGATCACTATCTTTATCTTTGTCATCCTTATATGGTTTTAGAGAGAGAAAACGATATGTCTAGATCACTGCGAGTTAATTTTCGTAAACCGCTAAGGTTCACTGAACAAATATTCGAATGAAGAGAAGGAAAAAGAAAGGAGTATTGATTAACCTAAAAAAATTGAAGCAACAGAAAATCTATGCGACAGAAGATCAGCAACATTAAATGATTTGACATCTCATCTAATAACTACTGACACTGACTTGCATTTTACATTATTTGTGAACAGTGAATATTAATATTGTGGTTTAAGGAAATAAAAGAAAGGCTTTAAAGTGTAACATCTCAAAAAACTGAAAAAATGTCGGTACTGTGTCCAGAACAACCTTCGGCTGGATTTTCTTTTGAAAATTGCAAAAGGTAGATATATTCTTTGTGAATAAAAGTTAATAATTTTGATATTGTTTCCACTGTAAAATGATCTAACGATACAGATGCATGTTTTAAGACGTACTTGGATTCATATTCCAGCATTCATGTATAATCATCTTGATCGCCTGCAAACACAGATACTTGTATGCCAGTCATCTTTTTTGTAAACAAAATTGGTGATCAGTGACGATGAAATAAATTTATTAGCATTGGAGTGCCTTTGTATACTTTGTAAATCTACAAGCTTTACCTACCATTGAAAGATATGCAAATATGTTCACACGTTAATATGCTCCCTTTTATAAAATAAAGCAAAAGGGGAATATGTTTGATGGACTTTTTGAAACAATTTTCATCTATACATTGTTGTATATGAAAGCATATATAATATAATAATATATATGCATGTAGTTGTCTGTAGGTTCCATAATAAATAGGTTTGCTTTTTTAGGAATGCATTACTGCAAAGTAAGGGTTTTGCAGTACCAAAGGCTACTAAAACTGGAACAACTATTGTAGGAATTATATACAAAGATGGGGTTATACTTGGAGCTGATACAAGAGCCACTGAAGATACAACTGTGGCCGACAAAAACTGTGAGAAGATACACTATCTTGCACCAAATATGTAGTAAGTGGAGACATTAAAATGCAATATTTAACTTTATGTTATAAGAATTGGTTCAGAATATTTTAAAAAGTACACAGTAAATACATAAATATCAGTAACGCATTTAAAAGCTTCCACCTCTAGATCCTAGATACCTCTTAAGTAACAGACAATTTTGCTTTCATGGGATTCTACCAGATCATTTTTTAACTAGTGAAGTAGACGACACAAATGTTGGTGCTGCTGGTGAGTCGCCCATTGATTGAAATGAAACACCAAACAATAACAAACATATATATTATAATAATTGAAAATAATTTTCATTTTATTACTGTTAAAATTACAAACTTTTCGTAAACAGTAAAGGCTCTGTATTTGAGTAATACTTCAGTAATATTTTATATATTCTGACATGGTTAAAATACTTTGATAGTAAGGAACCGGAGAGAAAAGAAAAATGTAGTCTTATTTTTCAATAATACAACTTCTCATCTAAATATTTTAGTAGAAAATGTGAAGCCTATTCTTTTCCTACACACACTACCTCATAATGGCAAGTCATTTATTATAAATATGCTTAAGATTTTTGGCATTAATACACGAAAGAGTCACTGGAAATAGTAGAGAAAAGCGTTGTAAAAGTCAGTAAATTAATATAGATTTCAGCTAAATATGGATTACTATGTATGTACAGGGTTTACGAAAATGAATATCGGGGTTTTAAAGCTTTGTAGAAGTTATTACGGTTAACTTACAATTACAAAGTATACATCAAATGAACAAGCAACTCAAACAGTGTGTCCTACAAGTATTCGTGCACTTTCTCTGGTTCCTCCATCTTCCGTTAGAAGCGCTAGTAGCCAAGATGGCAACTAGGGAGCAGAAAGCTTTTTGTGTGTTACATTTTGCAAAGTCTGAATCTGTAATTAGAGTGCAACATGCGTTCCGTTTTAAGTTCCATTGTAATCCTCCAAGTGATAACATCTGTAGATGGTATCATCAGTTTGAAGATGCAGGCTGTCTTTGCAAAGGGAAGAGTAGCGGACGACCAAGCATGATTGAAGAACATGTCGAACGAGTGAGTGATGCTTTCGTGTGTAGCCCCAAGAAATCAGTTTGGAGGGCTAGTCGTGAATTAGCAATTCCAGTGATGTCTGTGTGGAGAATTTTACGGAGACGCTTACAACTACGTCCTTATCGTTTGCACTTTTTACAAGCTCTAAAACCTACAGACTATGGTGCACGTGCCGACTTTGCAAATGATATATTGCTGCATACCGATGATAATTTTCTGGATAGTGTCATCTTAGTGGTGAATCCACATTTCACCTAAGTGGACATGTGAACACTCATAATGGCGTATCTGGGGGTCAGCAAATCCCCACGAGATGGTACAGTTGCAACGAGACTCCCCTAAATTAAATATTTTTTGTGCCATATCCCGGCGGAAAGTGTATGGGTATTTCTTTTACGCTGAAGCAACTGTAACTGGTGTTTATTATCTTGATGTGCTACAACAATGGCTGTTTCCTTAATTACACGAATGTGAACCAAAGAACTTTACTTGGCAGCAAGATGGTGTGCCGCCTCATTGGCATGCCTTCGTACGCGATTGGTTAAACAATGATGTTCCCGACAGGTGGATTGGCCGCAAGGGGCTGGATAACAGAGCTTGTTTCGCATGGCCTCCACGTTCACTAGATCCGACGCCATGCGATTTTTACCTTTGGGGGTTTGTAATGGATTGGGTGTATGTGCCTCCACTACCAGCTGACCTAAACGACCTACGACATAGGATTGAAGCTGCAATTGTATCAATTACTCCAAACACACTCAGCAAGGTTTGAGACTAACTTGGCTATCGACTCGATGTGTGCCGTGTAACGGAGGGTGCTCACATTGAACACTTGTAGGACAAACTGTTTAAGTTTCTCGTTCATTTGATGTATAATTTGTAATTGTAAGCTAACCGTAATAACTTCTACAAAGTTTTAAATTAAATCCTATTGATTGTATTGATGAAAGCAATATCTGTGTTCTTTCTTCCATGTATATTTAAGTTCGTGCTATTTGAATTAAGTTACATTAAATAGAATTAATAATCCATCATTAATCAACAGACACTTTATACCAAACAGTTTAGGATTCCCTGTAGGTGTCCGCTATTAAGAGGTGTATGCAATAAATTGTGACATTCAATAATTAAAATAGTAATTAGTAAAATTAATTTTTATTTTCTTAGTTGCTGTGGTGCAGGGACCGCTGCCGATACAGAAATGACAACCCAAATGATTTCGTCTCAGCTAGAACTCCATAGACTGTACACGAATCGTGTTGCAAGAGTAGCAACAGCAAATCAAATGCTCAAGCAATATCTTTTCCGCTATCAAGGCTACATAGGAGCTGCTCTCATCTTAGGTGGTGTTGATGTAGATGGTCCTCACTTATATCAGATTTATCCTCATGGATCATCCGACAACTTACCGTTTATAACGATGGGTTCTGGGTCCTTAGCTGCAATGTCGGTTTTTGAATCGGGCTGGAAGCCAAATTTGGATGAACAAGCTGGGATTCAGTTAGTTAGAAATGCCATTGCAGCTGGCGTTTTTAATGACTTGGGTTCAGGATCTAACATTGATGTGTGCATCATTCGCAAAGGGTCCACCGATTATAAAAGAACTTATGATGAAGCTAATAAGAAGGGTGTTCGCCAAACATCTTACCGCTATCCTAGAGGAACGACGAGAGTTTTATCTACTAAAATTGTAGACGTTGAAGAGGTATCTGTTCAGAGAATTGAACCCGAAAGGATGGATACTGCATAATAATCTAATTTTGGTTTATGGATGATATAAATAAATTAACAATTTTCAATGTAATTTCTTTATAAAATATATAATTCTTTCCAGATATATTCTTTAAGTATAAAAATATTTGTATAACCTTTATTCTAATATTGGAGTAAAATTTTAGTTCAAATATCACAAGCATGAGTATATATTCGAAAAGTTTGTTCGAGACTGCAAATAAATAAATTTATGAATCATTGGAATAAGCAAAATTGAAATGGAAAATGCCATAGATTAACAAAACAAATTGAATAAAATATAAAACTGAGGATAGACGTAGCCAGTGTAGGTTTTGAAATTTTATATTGGTAGGTTGCTGATGATGTTTTTTTCAGAATGAAATGAACAAGTGTAGGTTTTGAAATGCGTGCTTTTTTTTAGAGGCCCCCTTAGAGTATCTCTGGGCCCACCCTTAGCAAAAGCCCATGAAACTGAGTTTTCTGAATAGATATAGGAATAATACGAACATTAATTCTCACATTCAGGGTGTAACAGTTATATTGCAACAAAACTTTACCTGTTTTTTCGTAAAATGCACAGCTTACAAGTAAAAGTCCAGCAATTATGACGCTATTATTTTTAAAAACAGATTGCCATGGAAAGCTGCTTCAGCACAATTGTTAAAAAATAGCAACCTGTTCCTACTTAACTGAATTAGTATATTAGTGAAGTAAAGGTAGCTTAAAAAAATATGCATTATTTCGGAATAATTAGCAGAGCCTTGGATTTTTATAAAACCTTTTGCAATCGCCTTGAAATGGCTTATAGGGAAATTTATAAACTTATATTTGTACGCTAATTATTATTTAATTGTTTAAACAATAAAAAATGGTTTTTCGAAGATTATTTTAAATAAATCAAAAAAAATTTCAAACCAATTTTTATCAAATTGATACTATAGGGGTTTTCGAGGTGACTGAATAAGAATGTGTTAAAAAATAAAAATTCAAAATGGCTGATCCAATATGGCCGACTTTTTTAAACAATTCATTTAAAAATTACAAATTTCAAAGTAAATTTAGTTAAATTAACATTATAGGGGTTTTTGAGGTCTCTGAACAAGAATATTATACTTATCAGAAAATGAAAATTCAAAATGGCTGATCCAATATGGCTGACTTCTTTTAAACAATTTATTTATGAATAACAATTATTACTAAAACTTTGTAAACAAATATTTTTGAAATAAAAAATGAGACGAGAATCAAAAAACGTAAATATGTGTTCATTCTCCCTTCCCTCCGTTAGACACGTAGCATGCGCTAGATGAGCTCCATTCACCGAACAGATGTTCTCTCTATCACTCTAATATTCAAAAATATAATTCTCGAATTACGAGAATGAATTACACATTACCAGCTAAACTTCTACTACATAATTCCATCATGAAAAATATAGGTAAAACTGAATCTCGGGACAATTTATTGAAAAACCGTATTTTTTCGTATTTTTATACAATATTTTAGTAACAAAATTTATTTTTTTTCATTGATACTCTTTTTAAGATCATAGTTTGAAAATATATTGGTTAAACAAGCAAAAAAATATTTTTTTAACTTTATTAAAGTTTATTTAAAAACAAATTTCATCGTTTTAGAACAATAAAAATTTCATTTTTGTTTTTCTTTAAATTTTATTATAAATTCAACGTTTTAAATAAAACAAAATGGACCATCTTGAAGTACAGTTTTCAAGCTTCAAAAAATGCTCCTGTAAAGTTGCAATATCATATTTTGAACTAAAGTTATTGGACTTTGAAACGTGATCTAAAAAATCAAATGTTTTTTTTTTAAATTATTGAATATTTCGAGTGTTATATTTTTTGAATTAAAATTTTAAGATTTTTTTATGTCATTCACCATTTTAAATGCTATTTGAAGAGTAATCTCTGAAAGTTTTAAATTTTTATCTTAAAAATGAACAAATGGCAGATCTAATTAATTTTGTAGAAAATTCTACCGTTACGTAACTTTATTTACACACTATTCCTGTAAATATTTTTTTCGATTTTAAAATCATGATAACTTGTTAGCTACAAGATTCCTCTTTCATTTAAATTTTTGTGGACTTAATGTGATCAAATAGATAAAAAATTATAACAAATTTAGTGGATAGAGCGCGAGGCCGTGCGCTCCTCGAGTCCTGTGCTCAAGTGCCGACACTACATTTTACTATGATTTAAAAAAAATTCTACAACCTACAGTTTTCATTTTAGAAAATTACTATATACATTTTTCATGTAAAATTTCCCGTTCTTTCAATTGGCGCAATTAGTTTTTTTTTAATTGAATTTGTTAAGATATCGTCCCTATTATCATGTAGGGGCATATGTGTATATCCATTTGTTGGATTATACGTCCCTACATGATAAGAGGAACGATATACAATAAACAATGGAATTTTGCAACTAATTGTTTGAATAAATAATCAAGCACACACTGTATGGTTGGTAACTTTTTATATGTTGTTCCTAACACCCTCACAAGTGTGTCCTCAAAAGTTACCCGATCTGCTAATTTTTCCGAAGTCAAAATCTTATTTTTGTATGTAATCTCAAAAAATCAATATTTGGCATTTTCAAAATCAATATTTGCTTTTTTTTTCAAACATGAATAGTTTATAATGTATGACCAATATAATATTGCGAATCAACAAAATTGTAATATACATATAACATAAAGATGGGCACAAAAATTATTTCAGCCCCTTACCTATGCAGTGTTGCTTATTTTTCGACATAGCTGATAGAAGTAAATTTTTTCTTTCTAAAGTTTTTCAAAAATCTTTGACATTAATGTTTCTTGTTAATATTTTTTAATTTAAGAAAAAATGTCTGGTTTTGAACCATTTAAGGGTGTCGTCAAACTTCACCTCTGAGAATTTGTGTGTGCAAATGATTTTTTAAAAACTTCATTAAATTGCAAAATTTTATTAATCCTTAATTATTGTTGCAGGACAGGACAGGAAAAAATTAATAATCTTTGAAAAAAGATCGATTGATGGCTATTATCTTGAAAACTAAGTAACAAACATACAGGCAAGTCATTCCTCTCTAGAATGTACCCTTAAGTTCTATCCTCATCTTTATGTAGAACACGTAATCTACATATATTTTAATCTTATTAAAAATTTGCAAATTGTTAACAAAAAATATATTAAAAATATTTAAAAAATTAACACACCAAAAATAAATTTAAACTGCCCTTCTATATATTCGACAACAAATCGCATTATAAACAAAAAATATATAAGAGATTCTAATAATTTCAAGTTGTGAATATTTCACAAAAAATATGGAATGACGATAATAAACATATTTTTTACGAACTATAAGAGCATTAACACAATATATACAGTTACAGTTTTACACATATAAGATTAGAACATAAATGAGAATACTTAACGTCAGTCCTTTCAAATGGTTAAAAATAGATTCTTTCCCCCCCCCCAGTTTAATATAATGTAAATATGATTAGCTACAAAATTAATAATTTCATACAATTTGGTAAAAATGTCTTAATTTTTGTGGACAATAAAATCCCAGGTGTCCTTCCACCTTAAACTGAGAACATCGTTTGTACTCAAAGCAGTTGTGCCGTAGCTCAAGACACTAAATTTATTGAATACGAAAATGATTGCACCTAACCAAAGAAGCAACATAAGAATAAATACATACGCTGCAGACTTAACTTTCAATACCCCATTCAGCACTACGTATATATGTTCTAACGTTGCTGCCAAGAGAAGAATTTTAAACGCAAAGGCAGGTAAATAGTGGTGTAGGAACAGTGTTCGTTCAGTAAAAAAATAAGGAAGATAATGGAACAGATAACCTAATAGAAATACCTCACCTATCACTTGGAATTGAATCCAGGTTTTCTCATCCAAATCGTAGCATAATCTTCTCCGCCTTAATAAGTAAAATATTAATAAACAGCTATATACAAACAGACATATAGTTGCTGAATACCATATTATGATGTTACCTAACAAGTGGATCTGAGCCTGTAAATAAGCAGTATTGTCACACGAGACTTTTAATTGCTGCAAATTTATTACTTACGTTGCTAGAAGAAGATACCCAATAAGCTATCCCTCGAGACATAAGAGGCCACTCAAAAGGTTCCGAACTATACATGTGATTTTGCACACTGTCTGTGCTAACAAACATCATCTTGTAATGGAGCTCGAAAAACTTCTGCCAAAATGACAATTTGGTAGGTGCAGTGGGAATCATTTCAGCAGTAACTAAGTCTCTTTCACGCTCTCTCTGATCATCAGCTGCAAACATAAAGCTGACTGACTATATTTTCTGAATCTATGAGATAACTTCAAAAGGTTGTTTACTCAATCATATTAGAGCAAAAAAACCTTATCGAAAACTAGCAGTTAAAGGTCCTTGTCTTCTAAAAATATCAAGGAAGAACCTCCTAAAGTTATATAACATTTTAATTATAAAAATGGCTGATTTTCAGCATTTCTGATGGGTCTATTTAATTTTGAAATTTTATTACATGGTTCAGTGCGGTTTATTGTTGAAGAAACGTGTTATAGAGAACATAATTTCCTAAACAGAATCAACAGAATTTCTTCAGATGTGAATTAAAAATTGGTAAGATCATCTCGAGATTTTCAAAAGCTCTATTTTTTGCTAGATTTATGCCCGTTTGCACCGACATTATCCTAAGAACAACTTGATAAAGTTGTTCTTAAAATTAAGTTATACTTATTTTTTTAGAGCATTGCATCGACGGATCATAAACTATACTTAGCAAAGTACGTCTATGTATTGACAACAAAGCAGAAATCTAGTAGCTTTCATTACTTTATTGTTAGGTATTTTAGTTCTTTCTGATTTTCTTCAGTTTTTTACATCACATGTCTAACCCATATACGACACTCCTTTGATAAGACACAAATGCCGCCGTTGACCTTGTCCATTTAAACTGGATGCTAAACGTTGCCAGATTGGGCAATAAAAATTGATATCTGAAGAAAGTGTTGCCAGTTCGAAATATTGAATGAACATGAACATAAAATGCTTACACCTACATTTATCACAATTTTCAATTAATTTTTAAAGTGTCTGTCTAAACGGGATGATAAATTAGATAACTAATATATTAAAATAAAATTGCTGTGTTTATTAATTTTTTGGTGAAATAAAATACCTGACAAATTACACATATTTAATTTTACATTTTTTATATTAGGAGTTTTACTAAAATTTAGATTAATAGATTTTATGTGGCAGTAAATTCGCAGAATTACAAGTTACTTTATTAAATAGTCCAAACGAAAATTTGGACAGAGATGTTGAACTGGAGGTACATCTTTACAAAAATTATAAATGGTGTTTCCTGGGTAGTTACAAATACAATTATCAATCAATTTTGTTATCTGAATAATGAATATAGGAAATATGTCATTTTAGGGATAGTAAACTTCCAAAAAGTGTTACACTAGTTATGTAAATTTGAAATCGTTTTATCCATGCATTATTAATTCTGGGCGTCCACATTTTTCTATCGACATCTAAAAGAACAATTTATATTATAAAAATTTAATATTTAAACAATTTTTATAAGCAATTTAAGATTACCTATATAAAAAGTAATAATTATACAATTGTTCTTCTTTAGGAAACCGAAAAAATGTATATTTTTATTTTCTTTCTTGCATTTCCGATACTGATTTAGACATTCTTTGTAACTGCAAATAATTGTTAATAAAAACACCAAAGTTTTAAAAATAAATAACTATAAATCCACTGTAAACCACTTTTTAAAACACCCCAATGCAGCTAACGGCAACAATGTTTACAAAATGGATATTATATGGTTTATATGTAACGTTACTAGCATCATTTTATGGGAAAAATAATCAAACATTCTATATTACTCTACAAAATTTATATATCCTTAAAGTTTTGTATTTCATATTTATTCTGTTTAATGCCAAAATAATAGTAAATCTGAAAATATCATCTTACGTTGTCACACAGCTGTTCTGTTTGGAAATACGCATGCGTTCAGTCCCTGTAACTTGGATGTATCTCCATTTGTGTTGCACAAAGTAGCCCTTTCTCTCTCAGTGTCGCATATGGGTTAGATATGTGGTTACATGGACTTATTAGGCAATCCAACAACCTGTCAAATTTTTAAGCAATATGGCGCTGATGGCAAACAAGTTATGTTTACATTGAGAATGCATTGAAGTTAGTCCAGAAGTTTTTAGTTAAAAGCATTTAATCCAAGTTTGTTGTAAGGAATTATTCATGTATTTTATTTAAGGAAGTGTTCAACTTGTCTTTTATTGAATTGTGTCGCAACGATATGTATTACTAATGCCGGTAACATGCATATTAGTGGGTTGTAGAAGTCGTGGAAATCAAGACCAAGTTAGCTTTCATTGTTTACCTGACGTAGTGAATTCTAAATATTTTCCTCATTGAAATGATTTATTGAGAAAACGGCGCCAAACATGGATATATAAAAGAAGAAAATTACTAGAAAATACAGGCGAAAATAGAATGGAATTATACTTTTTAAAAATCAAGAAAAATTTGTTAGGTACTATCAAGAATTTTTACAATGATATCAATACATTTCAATTCCTTAATTTATGTATTTTTCATTATAATGCCAACGTTACATTAATTTATATCCTTATATTAGCTTCTTTAAATAATCACTCTACATATTGATTGGTAATAACAAAGACACCTAACTACAATCCATGAAACACTCATTATACAGTCAACGTTCAAAAAAACAAAGCCAAGCCAACAGAAAAACGCAAACTCTTAACAAAACACACATAAGTTTATACGAATCAAACAAATGTTTGCCCTCAATGCCATATTGAATTACAATTTTGTTACGTAGTTTGGATTGCCTAATGAAAAATTAGGTTAGATTAGGTTTTGGTGTTCGGTTTGTCATGTCATGTCTATGGTGTTTGTTGTAAATGTAATATACAATAATATATGGTTGTTGTTGATGTTGATCAAAAGACTAGTTGTCAAAAATAAAATAAAAATAATAATTTCCTCAAAATTCTAGTACTTCTTTTATTCTAGTACCTAATTCCTCTATCAACGGTAAAATTCGTAGACAAGTCTGTTTTGTAAAACGAAACATTTTATAAAAATTGTATGGAAATAGTCAAATCTTGTATAATTTAATCTGGGAAACCCAAGATCTCTAATTTCCAAAACATCCAAATCATCTTCAAATATGTCATTTAATCGAATATCCACAATATTTATTTACAACTACCTACTTTAATACCACACACATTAACACTGACAATTTTATTTGCACTTTCTGCGTTTTTTTAGTGTTTTGCGCACACTCCAAGTCTGTTTGAATAAAGAACTTCATAAGTCGATCTTAACATATGGTGCAATACAAAAAGCTTACTTAAGCATTTCTTGACCCCCAATACTGTACTGCCTCAGCTCCAACTAAATTCAGACGTTTTGTCTTGAAAAATTCATCTTCAGTGTATTCGTTCCGTTATCTAAATTTTTTATTTAGATTTCTTTGTTTATTGAATTATCTTACACTGTAAGTGTCGTTAGACCCTGTGAAATCCATCTAGTTATTTAAACTATTACCACCACGCGTTAAAATAAAACATTATTAGTTTTATTACCGTGTTCATAGTTATTTCTAGGCTTCTCGGGTGCTCACAATTCAAACAAATTCCCATCTATTTTTTTTTCAGGATATTCATACAAATATATCTGACATGCTCTTTCACAGTTGCGGTTACAGATATAATAAATTCCGATAATATTACGCTGATCTTCATTTTCAACTTTTCCCAAATCGAAAATGCTTTTGAACATTTACTGAAATTTTTTAAAGAATAATATTCAGTTGGCGTTTTGGTTGTTCATATGCATTTTTAAGAATTAGTGTGTCATAATAAAACATTAAAATTGTATTACTGTTTTAATTTTTACGCAACAACTTATTGAGTTATGTATGACCAAGTGATGGTAATAGTTAATCATAATAAATATTTTAATGTGACGTGTGGTGGTAATAGTTTAAATAACTAGATGGATTTCACAGGGTCTAACGAGACTTACCGTGTACGATAATTCAATAAACGAAGAAGAAAAGAAATCTAAATAAAAAATTTAGATAAATTTGGAATGAATACACTGAAGATGAATTTTTCGAGACAAAATGTCTAAATCTGGTTCGGGCTGAGGCAATACAGTATTGGGGGTCATGAAGGCTTGCAAAAAATGTAATAAAATTTCTAGGGTCGTATTTCAAAAAATTAAGTTGATGGTCCTGGAGAGACGAAACGTTACATACAAAAATTGATTATGTCATTTGATAGAGGGAAGAAAGTGGCAATGAGAGTGTTCTTCTTTTTTCAATATCACCTCAAACAAGGCTGAACTGAAACAAAAACGGATTTCCAAAATTTCGTTTTTTTTTTCAAATATTTCGAAAACTGATCATGTTAGCCTTGATTTTTTAGAAGCATAATGTTGGTCTCCTGATTACGCAACTTTGCCCCCATTTAAGCTACTTCGTATCTCTTACCGTTTCCAAGATCCCTGTAGTGAGAAGCGAATTTGTAACAGCCTGTATAAACAACTGACAAAATGTCTCTAGAAACATTAAACTGACTAATAAAAAATGTATTTATTCCATATTACAAAAGAAATTCGAGCCCTAAACAACTATTTTTTGGCTCACTGGTAAATACGAGAAATCGTTTTTAAAATTGCGAAAATTGTCCCACATGCTAAAATTTTTAAATTCACATAATAAATTTAGTTTTCTTCAAGTTGCACATTAAATTTAAACAACAAATTTATCTTTTGCATTAACTCTATAAAAAAAATGTGAATAGAATTTTTTTGTTTTGCAAACTTACATTTAGTATATCTATGTTCTTCGACATTCCACACCGTATCATCCTGATTAATTATACGATCAGCTGCCACCTCGTGTTGGTGGAAACCCCAGTCAGGTAGCTGTCGACCAGTGAATTTTAAAGCTGTGTTTGTGTCCACATGGATAAGTCTAACTAGGGACTGAATGGTATGCCAAGTGTCGCCGTTCTGTTCTCGATTAATAATCTCGACTTTCCACATGTTGTGAGCTGACATGGATATGTTGTAGTCGATGTAACACGAAACTTCTTGGCATTGTGGAGACATTGGCGCAGCCACATCATGTGAGTTAAGAGCCCTACTTGTGATACCTGAAATGTTATGATACAGTTTAAATTAAAATAAAGCAGAAACACTTTTACTATTTCAATAGCAATGTTTAACGATAGTTACTGTAGAAATAATATCTTTATGTCATGGAATATTTTAAAAAATATAATGAATTCGCTATTTTAAATTAAGTAATTGTATATGTAAGCTAATTCGGAAAAACCAACAATGTGTCGTAAGAAATCCAATCTCTGACTGCAGAAACCCTCCACTACTAGCTAGCTATGTATAGTAAATATAACTTATACAGATACTATTTAAAAATTGCACAGTTTGGAAATCCAGAATGAGTTAGACTAGCGAAATTAGTTGATGTGTGGCTTTGAAGGATGCAAATAATTACGATTTGTTTTTTTTTTAATTTTCTAAAAATATAAATTAATGGGTAATCTATGCAATTATATTATAAAAGTAATGTAGGTATATATTTTATGATAAAAATATTTTACTGATATTTGAAATATCCGTTAAATTGCCTTTCTTCAGTGAATCGTCACACTAAATATTTTTCTTAAAGATGATGTTTGCTGCTCATAAATATTTTTAAATTTAGAAAAAAGATTTGAAAATATATAATATTTTATACGGGTTATTTGCAATATATTTCGAATATCATATATTTTCTAACAAATCATAGGCATAAGGGAACCAATATTTGGTATTGTTTAGTTTGTTGTCCTATCTATTGTGATGATTTTTACTGCCAACTTTATTTCATAGTCAATAGTCATCCTCTACAGTGTAGGAAAGCACCGATGGTCTATCATAAGTTACGTGATCGCCCTTCCACAAATAAGAAGTGGATCTTATTTGTGGAAGGGCGAAACGGGCGGTGTCTATGAGACACCTTCATTATAGCCATCCTTCTCTATCGCATGGATTTCTATGGCTTACTTTATCGCTCTCACGTAACTTCAGATAGACCATCGGTACTTTCCTACCCTGTATAGACCACCTACACTGGCTAGCTATAGGGCGATTATGATGAAGGCAGTTGGGAGCCTAGTCAGTAGCCTAGCATCGGTCGTATCTGGAAACTTGAGCTGTACGCTGTACGTGTCGCTTTGATTTCAATAATTAGTTATTTTTTCATGGGCAAATGTATTGTAGGACATTGTATAAATAGAAGTTAACAAGTTGGTGAAGAGAGCCGAAAAGTTTCCTTCTCTAGATAAGTAAAATAAGCAATACATAAAACATAAATTTGAGCCATTATATACGCCATTTCTTGGTTAAGGTCAGAGTATTCCAGGGTTGACTTTATAAATTTGTTCGCATACATAGTGCAATGGTAAACATGATATTATTATAAATTGTTAATAAAATAACGAATAAATGATTTTAACATATTTTTAATAATTATTTACTTTACGTAAAAGTCTCCAATTTATATGAAATTGCAATTCCCGTAATTTTGAAGAAGCTGAAAATTAATGTGATATTATTTTTTGCAATCGAAAAAAAATAAAAAAAAAATATTTCAAATTCATGTTCAGCACCCTGGAAAATGGGGGTTGGCAAAATTTGATTGGAAAAATCAGAGTTTTATGGTAAAATAAATAATTAGTCAAATTTTTATAGTTGCTTCGATTTTTCGAATCTAATATTTTAATTTTTACTGATTTCCAAAGGATGTTGACATAAAGTAGGTACAGATAGGTGAAAGCTTTTAAAAATCACGATTGGATACCATCAAAATGTTCACGTATAATTACTTTGAAGAAAATTTTTTAATATTCAACAAAAATGTAGTCCACAAATTAGCAAAAAATTCATACGAAAAGACAAATATTAAATAAACTAACATTATTTAAAGGACAATAAATATATTTAAATTATTTTGTAGGTTTATTTAATATAAGCAAGACATTAAAATATATTATTTTCTGAATTCCCCGCAATTTGCATTCACTGGTACCCGTGCATTGAAATTAGATACAGCCAGTCTAGGGGGTCTATGGTCAACCTTATATTTAGTCAAATTTTCATTTTATATTTAAATGCTATTGATAACATTGCTTACATTTATTTATTTTCGGCACAATTTTTGTTTCTGGGTTTGAGTATTTAGCCATTGGTGCCAAAAAAAAAAAAAATAGAAACCAATTAAAGAAACCTTTGCCCCCTACAAATAGTAAAATTTATGTAAAAAGGAACTTCAGTATCAGTTTTAAAAATCAAAATTGATTAACTTTCGAAATGTAAATTAGTGAAGAATTCATAAATTAATAATGAATTAATTAAATGATATACCTAGTGATTAATATTTTCTTAGTGTGAGATTCTTTTAATTTAAAATATTTCAGAAAAACTATCCTTGAAACGTATAGTAAGACTAGTCTGGGTTATACTACTTTTTTCTAATTTTTTTTTTTGTGGAGCTGTGTAATGATAATGATGGTAATAATGCCAGTAGAAATGCAGTAACATAAGTAATTCTCCTTTGGTATACATATAATTTTTACATATAATTTTTACTAAATGTACATTAATTGTTTTATTTGATTATAGTTCTATATAAATTAGAATGTAGCCTATTGTATTTAATTAAATTGAACTTTTTTAATGGCCAAGAGTTGAACAATAAAAATTAAATTTGTGTAAAATTAAAATCTATTACAAACACTATATTTGTTTTAATTTGTATAAATGTTAGACTTAATACTTATACATTTTTTTACTGTTAAAATTTATATATAATATATTTGTTGAAGGTACATTTTAAATGTATTTTCAAAAGAGATTGAACATGTAAAACATATCTTTTATCATGTACATTATAATTAACTATATACTTTAATTGGCTAATTCTCGGAGCTTAGCTTTGATAAAATGTTATACTGCAAACATATTTAAGTACCTAGCTGTACGGAGTATATACAGGGTGTCCCCAAATTCATGCAACAAAATTTGGTCATAGATTCTTAAGACAAATTTAGGGGACCCGTATTTTTTATTTTTGCCAAGTGGCCCCCTCTTTCGGAGTTACAGCCCCCTGAAGTCCGCTCCTAAGAATAATCTTTTTTTATACCTCAAAACGCTGTTGTACGAGAATCACTAAATTTGGTACACAGGGGTTCTATGACATGTGGAATCTGATGGTGCTACGTTTTTTTACGGTGAACCCCCTTAAGACAATTTTTCGTGGGCCCCTTGTCTTTGGAGCCAAAAAAATTTGGTCGCATATTTAAATTTCTTAAAAATTATAAGTCCACTAGATAGCCATTAAATTTAGAAACTTATTGTCCCTTTACACTTTTTTCCAAAAAAACGCAATGTTTTCGAGAAAAATATGAAAAATGTGATCGAATGCATATCGTGATTCGCCATTTTCCTCGAAAACATTGCGTTTTACAAAACAAATATCAAGAGACAAATAAGTTTCTAAAATCAATGGCTAATAATTTTAAAAAAAATCAAATTTGCGACCAAATTTTTCTAGTTGCAAAGATAAGGGGGCCCACGAAAAAATGTCTTAAGGGGGTTTCTTGCCAAAAAGCGTAGCACTGTGAGATTCTACATGTCATAAAACCCCTGTGTACCAAATTTAATGATTCTCGAACAACATGATTTTGAGATATAAAAAAGTCTTCTTTGGGGCAGATTTCAGAGGGCTGTAACTCCGAAACAGGGGGCCAGTTGGCAAAAACAAAAAATACGGGTCCCCTAAATTTGTCTTAATAAGAATCTATGACCAAATTTTGTTGCATGAATTTTGGCACACCCTGTATTTAACTTTGTTTATTTAATTTAAATTTTATAAGGATTACTGCCACAATGGTACAGATTTACACTTAAAACTTAAAATAAAAAAATAATTGGACATTTACAAGTTAAAAAGTATATTACCGTGAACCAGTTGTATTATATCACCGTGTTTAATAGCATCAATAGGTTGCTCTACAACCAGGTCACTTTTATCAGGTCTCTTAACGATCCACCAATTATTTACATCTTTGAAAGAGTAACAGGTGACCTGCTGCTGATGACTAGAACCCCTCTTATCTGGATAACGAATCGGATAAACAGCATTATGCGAATGAAGCCAACATGTTCTTCCATGTGTATGCCTAAAAAAACATATACTTAACTTACTATGTTCAATAGCATGATTATTACTATAAATAAAATAGAATAAATGTTCACTTACCGCAGAGTTATCTGTGAACCATGTGATACTAACAGCGGTTGTCCTTTTGTAATACTTGCCAATCCACCTTCTAACGAAGCTTGGAAAGCACTTGTCATAATACTATCATGTGGTCCAGCCTTGTATAAAACATTTAAATGAACATAAAATATTCCTAGATACACTGTTACTGCTATTAGTGTAGTAATAATTAATTGTGTGAAAAATCTTATGATTAAGGATATATCAGATAATTTTGTTGATTCTAACAATTTCCAAAAATTCCTCAATAAAATAGCTGCACCTAAACAACATGAATAAAAACCAGAATATTTAATACACAATGCACAAGTTAAGGAAGCTGTAGCTAAACTCATCCATAAACACCAGAAAACACCATAGGGCTTCTCAGAATTTTTCTGAAATTTTAATATGCATAAAATACCAAATAATGCAAAGAATAATAGTATCGACTCCATCAAAATAAATCTACTTTGGGTTAAAAAGGAATTATCAAACAAAAACAATAAAGCTGCCAACAGTGATGTCCACTGTGTTAAGCCTATTTCCAACATCAAATGATAAACAGTTGGAATAATTAAACTCCCAAAAAATGCGGGAATAAATCGAAGGGCGAACAATGGAACACTTGGGCCGTATGGACTTCCTATTTTATCAAATTTGAAATTTCCATCATAACCTGCTAGATATGCCACAGCTGCAATAAGTTGTTTGCCAAGTGGTGGATGTGAATCAAAGAAAAATGTGTTCTTCATGTACAGTGATACATATTTTCCATAATGAAGCTCATCAAATCTAAAACATAGTTCAATAAAGTTATTTTAAAATACCTACAAAGATTTGATACATACACAATATTTTTCGGTTCTTCCAATTTGTACATTCTAGTCAATATTGCAGTAACAAACAGTAAAATTGACAAGAAATCTATCTCAAGATTAAGTCGAAAAAGTTTTTTTCTCTCATCATAAAGCATTATTAACTCATTATGAGATTTATTTTTCTGTGTATATATTATTCTGTGATTATTTTCAAACTGTTTATCAACCTTATTATGAACTTCATCTTCTAGTTTTTCTTCTGAGAAAACATCATTACACTTTATTTTAATTTTAGCTTTTCTATTCCGTACGGTTTCCATTTACACTGTAAACAAGTTTGTACAAAACTGAGGATATTAAATAATTGTTTTCATGTTATGTTATTGGGAAGACAGATAAAATTCATAATTTCACAAATGACGTGGACCAAGCATGGATCCTATTCAATGCGCATGTGTAATGTGTATAATCTCTGGGGTACACTAGTGCACTCCACGTTCATTTCATATTTCATAAAAATCGAAATCAGCATACGTTTCACGTTTGATCTTTGATCCCCATCTCTTTTTTTAGTAACCTCAATCTTCGTTTTTGTGTTCATTCGTTCGTTGATACATTATGAATTTAATATGATTATGCATTCTTTTTCAATAATTAATAATGGATGAGATTACTGAAAACGGTGAAGTAGAAACTTTAATTTTAGCTGCTGCTAATGCTGACTCTGGTCAATATAATAGTGAAACCGAGGAAGTAGAAGATAGGGATGAATTAGAAACTTCTAAGTGTAGTATAAATATTGACGAAGACATAAATAAAACTATTAATTATAGAAAAAGAAAATATGATGATGAGGCTGAAACACCGAAAAAACTTAAAACAGCTGACGGTTACGCAGAGGTGGTTGCTACACATTATAATCTTTTAGAGGAAAAAGGCCTAGATGAACGATCAAAGTCACGTATTGTGTACTTAAGGAATTTTCATAATTGGATTAAGAGCATGCTTATAAATGAATATCTTACGAAGATTAAAGATAAGAAGAAACACAATGCTCCAATTAGAATTCACGATATGTGTTGCGGTAAAGGCGGTGATCTCTTGAAATGGAGGAAAGGTGGTATAACCCATTTAATATGCAGTGATATAGCTTCAGTTTCATTAGAACAATGCAAGGCCAGATATAATGATATGAAAAATAGAGGAAATAGAGATAGGGGTTCAGGTAATATTTATTCCATTGAATATATATTAGGTGATTGTACTAAAATGCGGCTGCGAGAAAAATTTTCTGATCCTTCTATGAAATTAGATCTGGTTAGTTGTCAATTTGCATTTCATTATAGTTTTGAGAGTTTACCACAAGCAGAATGTATGTTGCGAAATGCTTCGGAATGTCTTCAACCAGGTGGATATTTTATCGGTACAATACCCGATGCATATGATCTCATAGCTAGAGCCAAAAGATATGAAACTAACACATATGGAAATAACGTTTATCAAGTGGCACTTGATTTTGATTTGAATAAACCAGAATTATTTGGGGCAAAATGTGACTTTCATCTAGATGGTGTTGTAGATTGTCCCGAATTTTTAGTACATTTTCCCACATTTATTAAATTAGCTAAAAAATATGGTCTTAAATTGATAAATAAGGAGAAATTTTATGAATTCTTTGAAAGAATGAAACTTGAGGGTAGACAGTTACTGAATAATATGGCAGGATTGGAAACATATCCACCAAATGCCACTTCATCGTTGGTAGGAACAGATTCAAATGATTATACACATGCAAGTGAATTTATTAAAAAAGAAGGGAAGGATAATCTTCAAGTGGGAACGTTATCCAAATCAGAATGGGAGGCATCATGTAAGTTAACTAGGTACTGGTAATTATTTTTTTAATTTATACCTTAGGTAAACCCACATGCTATTAATTTGTTATTGTTTGCTTTCTAAATGAATGTTTTTGCTTATTCAAGATACATCTTGGTAAAGAATTTATAGATAACTTAATAGGTAGGTACAGGATATTTTACTCGGGAAGATGTGGTCTAATATAATTATATTTATTTATGTATTAAAGTTCCATCAGAAACAATGCAATGATTACATATATAGTAAGTTTTTTTTATTGGTAAAAAGGGGCCGTATTCCATAAAGCCAACCATCTTCCTAAGGACCTTTATATTACCTAAATTAAATTAAGTAAATGTCAGGGAAGAAAACAGTTTTGGGTAAAAGCAGAAAATATTATGAAAAAAAAAGTTAGGGTACGAGAATCTATGATGGACACAGCACAAAAATACAATGGCGGGAAGAATAGTAATTATGTTTATGCAATATATTAAGAGCAGAAGTAAAAATATCTTTCTTGAGATTTGCATGTCTTGTCAGTACATATTTGTATATAAGACAGATAAGTCTTCCTTTTCCTTGTTATAATGCATCCTTCTCATAACTCTTTGAATATTCCTGTCCCTGTATCCATTTCCTATAAAAACAGATTTTAGTTTCTCGTTCAAGTTTTCTGGCTGGCAGATAACTTTTACTCAATGTAATTAAAATTCCTAGATTCACCAAGTACTACAACCGTTTGTTCTCGTTTGCCCCAAAATAGCGGTTTGATAGGTCAATTTGAGATATTTATATAGAGAAATATCAAAATTTGTTTGCTTCAGTAATTTAGATGTAGATATTAGGTTGTTGCGTAATAAACTGTCCAAAATATGTGAAAATAAATTAACCCTATAAAAAAATTATGTTTTAAGGCTAGCAATAAGGATTTTATCCCAAAATGACAGTATATTGTGGTACTTTATCAATATCTAGGAACTTTAATACTAATGTGTTGACAATACCTTGTTTCTGGGTGATGAGTGATGATGATACTCAGCATTCAAGTTTATATCCATGTGGGTCGGATGTTTGTAAACATTGTGCCCTAAGGTGCCATCCAGGATTCTCTTTACAAGGACATCTATGTACAGGGTGTTTTCAAGAGAGCACAAATGGTACAGCTAAAAAGAGCCACGTATTGCATAGAAATCACCTCAGTAAAATGTTCAGCCCTTAGAAAATACAGCCTCTCAAAATTTCCAAAAAAATATGGAATTGTGATTGTAATTTGAAAACCAAAACATAACAGTCAAATTTTACACAAATTTTCTAATAATCCATGTGCAACTTCTCAACAATTTTTCGAACATTTCTGTTCCTTGGAGAGGGTTGAAATAAGCATCAGAGAACACTAGTTGGTATAGTGTTTTCTGTAAGCATACCCTAAGTTAGTTTTTGCTACAACTTTTTTGTTTGACATAAATTGAAAATGCTAAGGTACCATTTCCTTTCATCTTCGCTGTGAAGCTAATGTCTGGATATACAGTACGTCCCAGAAGTAACGCAAAAAATTCGTATTTCATTTTGTGTTTTCACATAAACGCTAAAATACATCAATTAGTAAATAGGAATTGTCATTCTGTCACATTGCTTAAACCTTCATAAACCTATGACGTCATCGACATTTTTTTAAAATAGCACTCCTTGTTGAAGGAAAATGCGTCGATATAGGGTTTGGCCTACTTTACTTTGACAGGTGCGACAAAAAAGTCAACGATTGCAATGGACATGGTTTAAAATAATAACAAAAGTAGGTGTCATAAACTGATGTGAGAACAGTGCCACAGCAAAAAAATGGGAATTTGTAGATGTTTTGTGTTTTGGTTGATTGTAGGTACATGTTTTTATGTATTAATATGCTGGCTTTTTCGGCGACAGGACGAATGGCACTGTGTGGATTTTCAGTGACAGCTAAACATAACATTTTGCCTATGATTTTCCATCACTGTCGTTGGCCTTCCAGATCTAGATAGATCTTTAACATGTCCACCATCTTCAAATTTGCGTACTAATCTGCATACTGTAGATGGAGGTATTGGTTGTTCTGGATACTTGGCATTGAATAACTTCATCATAACTATGGATTCTCTCTCCGTATCCAACCATAATTAGGATTTCAATTCTTTGTTTCTCACTTAAACGCAACACCATAGTAATGTAAAGTATTTGGAACTGTCACAATGGTATGAGGCACTATTACATTCGCTAAGTGTCGTCTTCAAAACAATACCTAGCCGCTGTGATCGGGTGAATCTACCCAATCTACATAAAAACATGTACCTACAATCAACCAAAACACATTTTTTGCTGGGGCATTGCTCTCGTATCAGTTTGTGATACCTACTTTTGTTGTTATTTTCCAATCGTTGGCTTATTTTCGCACCTGTCAAAGTAAAGTAGGCCAAACCCTATATTGACGCATTTTCCTTCAAAAGGGCTATCCATTTATGCTTAAAAAATTAGGTAGTGTTATTTAAAAAAAATGTTGATGACGTCATAGGTTTATGAAACACAGCACAAAAACAGTTTAAGCAATGTGACAAAATGACAATTCCTATTTACTAATTGACGTGTTTTAGCGTTTTTGTGAAAACGCAACACAAAGTGAAATACGAATTTTTTGGGTTACTTCTGGAACGCACTGTATATTGTTTGTACTACATATTATTTTCTACTACTTCCCTATGCGGTGTAAAATTTATAACACTAGATATGCACATAGGCTATATTTCATATTGGATGACATACTATTTTATAACTACAAAGACCACTTACTTTTCCTTGATTTACTAATGTTTAAAATGTTAATCCTGAATTTATTGTGATACTCAGTTTTTTGACCTTGTTAACTACAGATACCACTTTATTATTAATAGTAACTGAAAAATCTCTCTTATACTACACATAGGTTTGTTTTAGCTAGCTTCTAGAAATGTTGGAAACTGTTTGCAGTATATGTCCTAACAATTCTTTAAAAAATTGTTATATAGTTTATACCTACCTATTTTTTTTAATACCATTATGGAGTTCAAAGAATTTTGGGCCATTAATTTTTAAACCATTTTCATTTATTTAAAGAGTAATTGTATGTTTAGCCAATATGGTAATAATGAATTATTTTATTTGGTAGCATCTATGTCATTTGGAGAAGCTGTAATAGGCAACTCAGAGTCATATCATCTTTTTGCTACAAGTTTGAAAATTGAATACTTAATTGTGTTTGCAACATAAATACAGAATAATAAGATTCTAAGAAAGGGCCCTTATTATTTTTTTGTCATTACTTATAGGTATTTATATTAGACATTTGACTATGTTTCATATTTTGATAATGAAGCATGGAACTTGTCTCATTTTTTGGGGGTGATTTCTAGGCCCACATGGTGAATTTTTTTATGAAAATATATCGAATGAAGTTGGTGAAATAAAAAATATGAGTGTCTGGCTCTTAGATCTCGAAATGGGCTACACACACATACTTCTAAATATATTTTTTTAATATTCAACTGATAGATATAAACACTGTTTTCATTATATTTATTATGAAGTTTGAAAAATAGAATCTAATATCAAATTAAAATTTAAATACAAGGTGGTTCGAATTTTATGCAGGAAAGTTTGAGGGCAGATAGATCTGTTTAAACTAATAGGTGTTTGCCTTATAAACATAGATCTGGAACGGCCTCGTTTTAGAGAAATTGATTTTTTGTTTATATCTCCAGAATCTATTAACCGATCTCAATAAAATTTAGTACAGATGATGTATGATAGTAGGCCTTGTATTATCTAAAATATGAGCTCTAAAGGTTCAACCAGCGGCATACAACTGGACAAGGGTCACCCCCTTTTTTATAAAAAAAACCTACGCCACTGTATTTTTTACAACCTATTGTAACGGATTTATATTCTAATGCACAAAATACGTAAAAAAGGTAAACTTGAATTTTTTCACCGTTGAAGTTCACCGTTCTCAAATTATTCATACCAATACAATCCCCTCGGGGCCGACACTTCTAACCATCTTATTACAAGAATATTTATGTTTATGCTTAAAAGTAAGTGCAATTTGTAAGCACATCAACAAAATTCTTTACACTCCTCGCTCTCATCTGTTTGGATTAAAACGATATTTGGAAGATCACGCTGGCGAAAGGAAAGGCACAGAAATGAAATTTTAAGAGCATTGGATGACGATCCTCGGCTAAGTTCACGAAGAACGTCTCGGCAACTTGGGGTGAATAAATCGAAAACTTTAATGCAAGGCCTACTGTCATAAATTATCTGTACCAAATTTTATTGAGATTGGTTAATAGATTCCTAAGATATAAACAAAAAATTATTTTTTTTTTACAACTTCAACACCCTGTATCTCTAAAACGATGCCATTCTAGCTCTATGTTTATAAGGCAAACACCTACTATTTTAAAGATATCTATCTGCCCTCGAAGTTTCCTGCATAAAATTCGGACCACCCTGTATATGTCATTGTGAAGTAAAATTAATTTTGCAAATATGTATATGTGCAACCCTTTTAAAGATATCAGATTCGACCAATCCTATTTGTTTTTTTATCTCGTAAATTTCATATAAAATTTTTTTCGTCATGGAAGTTCTCTAAGTTTGCCTAGCAATCATTCTCTAAAAAACAGTGTAGGCTCCTTGCCTTATTATGAAAATTTCACCATTTTAATGTATAAGAGGTATAATAATTAAAATGTTTGCACATATCCATTTCCTATGACTTTACTAATATAGTAAAAGAGTATTTTTTTCCAGCTATGTATACAACTTTTGTGTTTGAAAAAGTAAAAAATACGTGGAACACCGACGGAACACCAATTTATGATATATAACATTAAGTGTACTAGATAAAATCTATATAATTATATTTTGTTATGTACTATTTCAATTTCTTGTTAATCATGTGCCTAGTTATGAAATTAGTGGAGTTCGGATATAATGACAAGAGTGTGCCATAAGTGTAATGTATTAGGCAAAGAATCTCTTTCATTGAGCTTATGGCACACTCTTCTGGCCATATATCTGTTACTAAAAATAGACTTCTTTAACCTATATCACTGAAATCGTGTTAAATAAGACACTTTGGTTTGTATCTCCGAAAAGTGACATTCAATTATTTATATTTATAGGCAGTTTTTAAAACCGGTAAATGATTTCTTAAAACTTTGATCTATACCATTTTCTTAACTTTAAACGTTAACAGTTTTATTGTTATTCGTTCTGGATATATATAATATGAATTTTTTTAATATATGTATTACCCAAGCAGGAGATTGCTGCAGGTCTTATAAATGTACAATAAATATGTGATACGAATCATGGTAGACTGAGTTCTGAAGATTGATACTTTTGTTAACCAATAATAACCAATAAACAAAATGATTCAGTTATGTCATAAGCAATAGGTCTAATAAGTAACTGAATTCCATATATTTTTTTAAGTGAAACCAAACTTATGAGTGACACATAATGCGACATTTATGTGGCCGGTCTTTAGAAATAGAGTCGTAATAACCAAACTCCACTCTACTTTGTAATTGTATTCAGAATGGGGTATTTTCACTGTTTTGTTTGTATATATTAGATTTATAAATTAGAGACTCGTATTTATTCAAATCACAAATTAAAGGCTATTAATAACTTTATTTAGAATGTTTTCAATAACAACCTATGGATTAATTAATCAAGTAAACCTTGCAATATAAGAAACAGTCAGATTGTTTTTAAAATAATATGTTTTTTCTGCAATCGTTTTTATATTGTTATGTATATACAGGGTGTTTCTTAATAACGTGCTAATATTTAAGGAGGTTATTCTTGGGTCCATTTTAAGAAAAAAACTTCCTATGAACATATATCCTAAAAGTCTTAACCTTTGAACTACAGGGTGCTAAAGTTTTATGAAAAAACTTTTTTTTTGTGATAACTTTGGTATTATCCTAGATATTTTTTCAAATTTGGTACACGCCTTCTGTTCATCGAGATGCATTTTCTGATATACAAACAATTTTATTATTTTTGCCAGTGGCGTCTGTACAGGTTTTGTATTGAATATTTTTAAAGAAAAATGTCACGCCAGGGTAATTTTCTTTTACCATTCCAAAATGTATGTAGATTACTGTAATTTCATAATTTCAATGTTTAAAAGTTATTATCTTAAATAAATAAATTATTGTTCAAAATTACATTTTTTTTTTCCTCGTAAATAAGATGCAAATGAATGAATTTTATTTTTTTATGCGAAAACCGTACGTCAAACGAAAAAATTCAAGACACCACATTTGCTCAGAAAGGAATGAGGATTTCAAAAATGATTTTTACTTAAAGAAAAAGCAGTGGCGTAACTTATTTTTCTTCAAAAATATTCAATACAAAACCTGTACAGACGCTAC